TGTGATGAAGTCTGCTTTCAACATCAGATATGGACATTGAGTTCTTAGTCATGCATTTTGGGATGACTAATGCACCAACTATTTTTATAGATTTGATGAACAGAGTGTTCAATGAGTATTTGGATCAGTTTGTGTCGCCTCCGCCGCAGCCACCACCATCATGTTTGCTGTCAAGGATTACTTAGAAGCGACACACCACTACCACCTCCTCTAAAAATTTTAGAGGATTAACTCATCTTTAAGTTAAAGACAAACATTTATGAAAGAGGAATATGACTGAAATAAATGAATAATAAGTGGATTTGGACGCATTAGACTCCATAAGATGATGCATGGTGGAGATAATTTGTTATGACAATGATTCAAATAAATACCTCCACAGTAATGACAGTGAAGATGATTTTTAAGTTGTCAATTATTTCAATTTTATTTAGGAATTAAATGTGGATGCATAAGGAACTGAGAAAGAAGGAATTTGAAGTTAAAATAAATATATTATAATACTTTTATGCAATTCTTATATTTTATATTGTTTTGATCTTATAATATTTATATTTCAATTCTATTTCACATAATTTATCAAATGTTATTTTATGTGCGTTGTAATTTTTTATTTTATATTAATGTTAATTTGTTACTTCATAGTTTAATAGAAAGATAATGTCATTCTTTAATGTATTATTTGGGTATTAAATAAAGAAATGAGAAGGAAGAAAGGAAGAAGAGGAGCAGGAGGAGAAGAAGAAGAGGAAAAGGGAGAGGAAGGAGGAAAAGAAGTAGAAAGAGGTGATATAAACTAGGATATTCATTCCAAAGAAGATCCTATAATTCAGATGAGATACTCAATCTCTAATATCAAGATCAAATAATTCTTAAGGAAGACAGGTAATGTAATTATCTTATAACCAGTATGAGGGGTTGGAACTATAATAATGAGGTGTAATATAGAAAAAAATATATATAAATGATATGAATAAAAGACTTCGGGTATGTATAAATTTTTTATTAAAGAATAAGAAGCCCCATAATTTATTTTGATAATTTAAATTATACATACTTACATATCAATAAGTATTATGAATCTATTAAAGAATGGTCTATATTTTATGATGATTTAATTATAATAATTTTTCACTCAATCATGATTAGTAAGTTAGGAAAGGTGTTATCTGGAAATAAGTATGATTAGATTGTCCACCTATGTTATGTCGCATGGTTGACTAGAAGAGCATCAAAATAAGTCATGACATCCTGAGAGCCAAAAATAACCTCTTGGAGCATGTCTGATGCAGGACATATATGAAAATTAGAATTTTGCACGCTTGATGATTAAGAGCAAGTTAATTAAAGCTTGATGTTGATTTAGACAATGAAATAAAAGACAAGAGCGGTAACAAAAGCTTAGGCCAAGTCGCTTGCAAAAAGTAAAACCCACATAACAATCAATTACTATTGACATTGCAAACGAAATGGGTTTCAACAAGAAATCCTTAATCTAACAATAAGAGTAGTGCTATGTAAGATCTCTCACACAACTAATAAATACTAGGCTTTAGTGGGAAGAATCAACACAATTTTCATGAGTTAATTAATAACTACAATTGAGAGTAACGAAAGATAAAAGAGGAGGAAAAGTTTACCCAAAGAAATAGGAATTACAAAGTTCCGGTATGATTGTTTGAATGAATGAGCAAGAGTAGTCAGCAACTCTAACTCCCTAGTGGCATTTGAACAATATTCTGGTAGTTTCTGGGTGGAGGACAGCCAACACTCATAGTCTTGAATTCAATGGAAAGGCAATACAGAGCTCTGATGCAAATGTTTGGATGCTTGCAAGATGGCGGGCAGCAGCACACAACTCCTAGCTGTCCGTGGACAGTAGTTTGGCAACATCGGCGTAGAGGACAGCCATCCAACTTGATCTGGGCTCCTTGGACACCAAACTGATGTTTCTGGACAGCAGTTTTTAGGCTCTGAACTTCAAGGCAGCATTTAGAACGCGTCAAGAATTCTGGATAGCACGTGGACATGAGAAATTTCAGGGATTCCACCTTCCGGAGGCACAAAGCTAAGGGAATATGCTGGGGGATTGAGTGGACAGCTGTGGGGGAATAATTTTGGGGGTTGAATATCGTGCTTTGGTGGCTATGGTAATTAAATTACCAATTCAAATTGCTGAGAGAGGGTGAGGGAAAAGTGGGCTGCGGCGGCAGGGAGAGTAGTGGAGGGAATTAGAGAATTAATTTGAGACTTAAAGGGGAATTAATTTGATACGAGAGAGAGGGTGGGGTAGCCATGGATGGGGATTTAATTGGGGGATTTAGATTCCTTCCAAACTTGGGTTGCAAAAAGGGTAAAGAGAATTAGAGAGAAATCTATCAATTTCAAATTTGAGAGGATTTGGAAGTTTCCAAAAATAAATCAATCTCTTTAGGAAAGGATTTCAAATTCAATTTAATTGGAATTTGAAATTTAAATTCTTTCCAAAGTTAAGATGAACTAACTTAGGAAAGTATTTAATTCTTTCCCACATGAGAGGTTTTATTTTGGAAAACACTTAGTAGGTGGGAGCTAGGAGGGGCTGGCAGCACCAAGGGGAATTGGGGAAATTTTTATGGAAACCTTTAATGCTTCCTTGAGTTAGGGAATTAAATTTGGGAAGAGATATTTCATCCCAAATTAATTTAAAACTCAAAGAGGAAGGGATTTGAAAACTTTCCTAAAATAGGATTGGTATTTTAGGTAACTTTTCAAATTTAAATAAATTTGAATTTACTCATGAATAGAGTTATCTAAAATATAAAGACTATTTTAGGAAAGGTTTAATGGCAAGTTGGTGACGGAGGGAGAAAACAAAGAGGAGGGAAAACTTTTCTAAAATAGATTTTATAATTTAGGAAAAATTTTGAATTTCAAATTTGGGGAAATTTGAATTCAAAGACCAACTAAATTATGGCAATCCAAAATTAGAAAATATCCAAAGTAGGCAATGCGGGTGGGAGAGGGCTAGGCCGGCGGTTTGAATAGGGGCGGGTAAGGGACCGGCGGCAAGGTGGAGATGTAGGCGGTGTTTTGGTGGGTGGAAGGAAACGACGAAGGAGAAGTAAGATCGTGAAGAAAGGTGGGTGATAGGGTTAAGGGAAATCAAAGATAGGAAACCACGAACCCGGCCGTCTCCAAGGTTGGTGGGTGATGCGCCAATCTCCCTCTCCAAGGGATCTCTCTCCGATCTCTCAAGCTCTCTCAAGAACTCCAAGCAAGAAGACAAAATTATCAAATAATCATTCATTCATTGATTCTCAAAGAAGAAGAGGGGGGCTTTAAATAGCCCATACAATGAGAAAATAAGAAGTACTACAATGCCCCTAGTGCTTACACATACTTAAGCTCTTAAGTAAGGGCAAAAAAGGAAAAGCATAATAAACTTCATAAAATAAAAATAATAATACATCAATCATAAATATGAAAATCATAAGTAGCGTGATGTAATCGTGGTCGTTGATCGACGATCACGCATCTAGTAGATTTTTCCATATCTTGATATCCTCATCAATGTCAAAGGGCATCATGCTCACTTTCAAGTCTCAGAAGTTACAGACCAAAGAATATGGATCTCTCACAACAAATGATATCTAATGACTTGATAGCATAGTGACTATTAAGAACCTTGTTCATAGTTTGTAAAGTTGTCAACTATTATGTCATTAAACAAGTACAAAACCTCAAGTCAACATCAATATTAATTTATTGACCACTTTGGAGTGATTGTTGAGTCAACTATCCTGGCAAGCAATTCCCTACCCTCGAGTGCACTAACATTTAGTAAGAGTTGCACATCCCAAGTCTTTTGTAGTGGTACATTTACAATTACCTTTAGAGAACAGTAGTTAACTCATAAATAATGGACATGCTTAAAAGTAAACATTGCACTTCAAAAAACCTTTACATGAAGAGGCAACTCTAACAAGGTGAACAAAGCAAGCATGACATGACTATCATATCAACATCTCTAACAATCTTCTTTCCTGATTCCTAAAGTGCACACCCTTCATTAAAAGTAAAAATTTTCAAGGCGGGTGTATGCATTTTCTCAGATGATTTACTTGAAGGGCTGTAACCAAAACTGATAGTTGTACACTCATGAACTTTTTTGCAAAACAAATTTGACAATTGTAAACACATGTACTTTGTAATACACAAGGCTTATCCAACATGCAAAAAATTTGAGTGTCCAAGCTCACTCCCAATTAACTAAACATACGGTGGGTCCAAGAGAATAACAATGGGTCTCAAAAGAAGATTGATGAAATTGTAATGTGGCATTAATGAGTTCAGTCAACTGCAATGAAAAAGTATAAAGGTTTAAAAATTTAGCAATGATACATTTCAAAATAGATAGATGTTAGTTGTTTATAAATGAAGGCATAATAGAATATTTTTCTTAATTAAATAGATGGGCGCAGAATATTTCCTAAAAAATGTAAGTCAGGAACTAAATGCTAGCTAGTAAGCACAATCAGGTTCACAAATCCAACACCTAAAATTTGTTTGGAACGATTCCATGCACTGCCATTTGTTAGAAAGCATCCCAAAAACATCCAAGTTCACAATTTTGAAATTAAAATTTGCTTGCAAAGAGTCCATTCACTAATGTTAGTCCAAAAAACAATCCAAAGATGACAGGTTTGCATTCAAAATTTGTAGATCAAGCAAGGAATCGTGAAAACAACTAAAACTAGAAGAATTTAAATATTCTTAGTCAGGGATTCATTTTCCTTTCCCCCATCCAAATAGAAGGGAAAAAGTCATTACCTGTGTCATGCAAAGAAATCTAAGAAGCAATCAGGAAGGTGCACAATATGCACGGCATACGGGAATAGATAATGATCAAGTCCATGCTTTTAAAAGAGTTGTCAAGGTCAGAAGCAGAAAGAAAGGAGTTTGCCAAAGTAGGTGAGAATTTGTAATAAAAATTGCACCGGTAGATCAAATAGGATCACCTGGCTAGGAATCTGCCGCCCATAGAACACGGATTCAGAAGAGAAATTGGCCATGTAAGACGGAAGAGTATGAATGTAGATGGAGTATAGCCCTAGGTAGCCCCGGTAGAACCTCTCCCAAAGAGGCGCCAAGGGTAATGGCCCTCTGGTGAGGAATAGGAAGGCGATCTTGGGGGTCCTCCGAAAGGGATACTCCTTCACCTGTGGAACGAAAGATGCACGCCAGAGAAGCTCCTCGTCGCTCATGCCATGCGCTGTGGTCTGCGAAGGATGAATCCACTGTTCCAAGCTGACTTCGCTCTGAATCACGTCTACGCAGTTCCGGAACTTTGAGCGAGTCTGGGTCCGAATTCCCTGGAACGCGAAGTGCCGCGTGAGATAGACACTGAAGGCGAAGAATCCAATACCGAGGACAAGGAAGAACATGAAGAGCCACAGCATACGGAAGGGAAAAGCCCTAGGTTGGGGGGCTCCTCCTGCTCTCTGAATGAACTCATTGCTATCATCCGCCGAAGGAATTCTAGTTGTCATTTTTTGTTTTTTTTTTTTTTTAGATCTAAAATTAGATTGTCCTGCGGAAGATACAGTTTCTCCGACCTGCGAAGGATTTAGCCAAAAGCACGAAAAGGGTGATCTTGCGAGAGCAAGAAGGTTAAACGGTACTTTCTGATCTCCCGGTGCTCGCTGGCAGATTGCTCTCCTTATCTAACAAATCTCAATTGAGGGCGCTGCCATTGAAGCTCGGAGGAGGCTGGAGAGCTGAAAATCAGCGACACGCTTCTGTCACCCCTCTCCCCCATCTTCTGAATTCACTTCTCGATGGCTCGATCTACGCGAGGGCTCGATCAACGCGAGTGGCTCACCTCATCAGCTTTTAAATCAAAATTTTTTTTTATATAATATATAAAATTATATGTAAAAAAAGTAAAAAGCTCAATAGAGAAAAAAATTTATTCTTAAACTTTCAAATATAACATAATCATATAATTAATTAAGAGATGATTTGATTGACTGAAAAAAACACAATATAAAAAAAGTGTAAAAAAATCAATATAAAAGAAATGCTTTAAAATAATTTAGATGAATGTAAAAAAAATACATAATATTCTTTTTTTTAATTTCATTTGAGATAAAATAAAAATAGTATAAAATCTAAAGAAGATTATGATCAATAATTGATAATGATGGTGATATCCAGTGACGATAGCAGATAACGATGGTAACTGACAAAGGCAACGAGTCACCAACGAAGGCAGTGGCCAGAGGATGCTATTGGAACTTGGAGGCGACAACATCGACGACAAGAGGCGGCGGTGGCGAGAGGCAATTGCAAGTAGCAATGCTGGGTGGTTGTGATCGTTTGTGGTAGTTGGCTAATGACGATTGTGGCTAGTGGCGGGCAACAATAATATGGATGAATTTATGATATATTTAAAAATCATCTAAATATGAGGAACTACAAATACATAAAAATGACCTAAAGTGTAATTTTGAAATACTCTAAAATTATATATTATATTTATTTTAATTCAAACTAAACAATAATATTTTTAAAATTCCTACCTTTAGAATACTTTAAATCTATTTTGCATCCAACGAAACGGCTCATATAATAACAACATACGTAATATATATAGCATAATTAACAAATTAAATGATAATAAAAATTAGGCTCAATCAAATTAAAATAATTAATCAAATACCTAGAAATGCTCCATTTAAACTCATGATCACTTGTTCGTTGCATGCGCTAAAATATTGTATCAAAGCATTTATCTGAAAAATGCTTTTAGGGATTGTTTGGTAGCAGGATTTAAGCCAAATTTGAGCGAAATCCAGGCAAACGACCTACAATGCAAAACCAAATCTGATGGTAAATGAAAGCCGCCGTAGACAAAAAATTACCCCAAATCCTAAATTTTTGAAATCCTCTGATTCGGCGGATTTGGCCAAAGAAGCGCGCGAACGGGAGAAAGTTACCTTCACAACAAGCGAGCTCCTGTCATTGCTTCCTATTTACAAAAAATCCTACTTAAATGAAATTTTAGGTGCTACCAAACAGCCCCTTGGAGTAGTAAAGGGCCGAGTTGTAGCTAGCCACCACAATTTGCCGTTAGGATACAACACGAGAGAACTGAAACACTGACGGCGTGCCAGCTAAAAAATACGCCAAACATATTGTTCTATGGGACCGTGACATGCCAGTAAATGTGTTATTTTTTTTCTAACAAAAAAGAAAAAAAAATAGTAGTAAAAGAGGACAGCAGATGAACGTGATACAGCAGCAAATTACAAGGACCAAAAAAGACAATAGGAAAAGCATGGCACAGTTTAAACATATATAATGTAAACATCTAATTGGAAGTAACTAGTGTCAAAGCTACACAATACCGAGGAAGCACAAATCATGAATATGTAATGGGATTCTAAAAGTGTAGCTGCTTGCACTGGGTGACGGTCGCCTCCAACGGGCAATAGGGACACTTGAAAGCCCGTGTGTTGCTCTTTGACAACTTCACTATAGATTGCTTAGACAGCACATGACCACAAGGCATCAACATTGGAGGGTTCTCATCATTGCCTTGCTCACGAAGTACGGGACAGACGAAAATTGAATGAAACTGAAGCTCCCTCCCTAAATCTACCGGAACTGGTAGTTGCTTCATGGCTTGCCACTCTTGCCCTTTAGCTGCCATGACGCTCGCCATCTTCAGCAAAGTTGGCAAGCCTTGAACTCCTGCTGATATTACAACACTCAATGGACTTGCATGCGACTGACCCATCAGGCTGCAGAATTGCTGGGAAACCTCCTCGATCATGTTCTCCCAATGTGATGGTGACAACAACTCTGCATAAGGTGATTGCTCTAACCGTCCTGCCCAAAGAAGGCAAGCCATCAACTTTTGAATTTCAACCTTGTGCACAGAGGCAAATGGAGCCAAGTATGTCCTTGCATGTTTAATAGCCTCATTCTTGTCTCCCTTCTGTAATATCTCCACAAAATGAAGCTGGTGAAGCTTAAGTTCAAGGCTTGACCCATCACTGAGTAAGCGTGCACTTTGTGCAGATGCCCATTCTAGAGCAGGTCCAAGGTCCCTAGCCTTCATTGCTTCGATTACAGGGCAGCAGCATCCGGTTCATTAGCCTCTTGCACAAAGCAGTCACCAAGATCAAAAAGGCCCTGTCGGTAAAAATGGCTCGTGATGATATGGTTTATTGTGTGCACATCAAAACCATATTTCCATAGGCCTTTGAAATGTCAGAATTAAAATTTTTCTCGAGGATCTTCACATATTTTCCAAGCACAACATTCAGTTCCTTCTGGGACCCTTCAAGATGATTTAGTGGGCTCATCTCATTTAGCTTATTCCTCAGCTCTCTCAAAATGGATTTATGGTTAATAGAATCCAGATCAGCATTTGCAGCTTCCATTTTTGTAACTGCGCTTTCTATTTCATTACCAACTTGATCAATCAAATGAAGGTTCCCCGAAGAAGAGAGCTTTTGCTTCTTGGCAACTCTGTCGAATGTATCTTTAAGACTGCTTAACTCCATCATGCTAGATAGAGATCGCCCAGAAAAACTCATGACCTCAGTTAAAATATAAAAAAACTATATTACAACAAATTTTAACTGCAAGAACAGATGAATTTCAGGCACAAAATTTCATGAAAAGAAGTCACCAAAAATGCATTTAAGCCATAATTGTAATGGCATTACAGTCTAGGTACTCGGACAAACTATATCCATTAATAAAATGAGAAATACTATGTTGCCCAACCTATAATCCAAGAGTTAGCACTAAAAGAGAGAGAGAGAGAGAGAGAGAGAGAGAGAGAGAGAGAGAGAGAGAGAGAGAGATTGATTCCCCCATCTGATTGTGTATGCACTTTTTTGTTTTTTTTGCCAAATAAACATTACCAACTCATTAAAATTTTTTTCGAGTTGTAATTTGGGTAAGGTAGCAATGTTTTGATAATATATTAGCTAGAGGTACCACTTGAGTTGAAAACATAACAACCATGAAGCATAAAAAGAGGTAACCACAATGAAATCGATCCACCTAGTTTGACGGGGAGTCAAAATTGGGCCTATAACTCAATTTATCTCACTTTGCTTTCTTTCCTTTTATTTTTCAAATGGAAATCTCAAGAAAAAAAAACCAGTCTAACACAATTATTTCAACTCCTATTCTATGCAAAGAAGTTCATTACACAAATAAATATTTATGCACTTATTGTTTTGATGGGTGCAAGAAATAATAGATACTTCTTAATGATAATCAAAATGAAAAATTTTGGTATATGATTTTTGCAGATGATATAATTCTAATTGATGAGATACTAATGAAATAATTATGAAGTTTTTAAAATAAGAGAAACTAAAGATAGAGGAATTAAAATCAATAGAACATAAATTAGGCATATGATGTGAAATTTTAATGTGTGAAATTAACAATAATTACCAATTCATATTAATTGAAAATAAAGCAATACCAAGGTGTGATATTCGAGCATCTAACATTTATATACAAAAAAAATGTGGAAATAGAAATCCTATAAGTTCTAGGGTTAAGACTAGAGAATTAAAATGAAGAAATGTCTTGGGAATATTCTATAAAGTATGGACATTGATATGGTGCAAATATGAAACAACACAGACACATTAACACGAACATGACATTATTCCCTTCTAAAAATTATAAAAATAGAATGTGCAATTAAAATGGATAAATACTTTTCTATTAAAAGAACTACACAATGAAGTATAATATCATTGACTTTATAAAAGCTTAAAAATAATAAAAGAAAATCAAACATTATTAATTATAATTAAATTTTATAATTTTATCAAATGCAATAATTTTCTTTTGTAAATAAACCGCCAACATTAGCATTCATTACTCATTGCCACATATTTTAGACATATTAACATCATCATCATCATCATCATCATCATCATCAACAACAGCAAGCCTTTATCCCAACTATGTGGGGTCACCTACATGAATCATTTTCTCCATTGTGTCCCATTAAGAGTCAAATTTTTATCTAAATCTAATAAAGAAATGTCATTTCTAATATTGCTAATCAAGTCTTTTTAGGTCTACCTCTACCTTTTTTAACATAAGTCAAATCTAATACATATACTTTTCTAACTAGGTCATCGAAAGGCCGTCGTTTTATGTAACCAAACCATCTAAGGCGACTCGCTCTAATCTTATCTTCCACTGGAACTGCTCCACCCTTCTCACGTATATGTTCATTTCGTATCCTGCCTCTAAGAGTAAAGCCACTCATCCACCCGAGCATCCTCATCTCTGCAACACTTATCTTAATATTATGCTTCTCTTTTAATGGACAACATTTTGCAGCATAAAGCATTGCAGGTCTCATTACCATCTTATAGAATTTTCCCTTAAGTTTAAGAGGGACTTTTCAAACACACAACAAGCCCGATGCATTCCTTCATTTCAACCATCCAACGTGAATTCTACTAATAATATCCCCCATCTATTTCACAGTTACTATGAGCAATAGACCCAATATATCTAAAACGTGTACTCTTATTAATAACTTGATCGCCCAAATCACAATCCCCCACTAGATTTAATTTTACTAAAATTACACTCCATATATTCAGTTTTAAATCTACTCAAACAAAAGTCGTTAGACTCTAAGGTTGACCTTCATAATTCAAATTTATCTTTAACTCCCTCTCTAGTCTTATCAAGAAGATGAATATCATCAACAAAAAGCATACATCAAGGTACAACCTCTTGCAAATGTCTAGTGAGAACATCCATGACTAAAGCAAAATGATATGGGCTTAAGGTTGATCCTTTGATGTAATCCAATTGAAATAGAAAAATACTTGGTCAAACCACCTTGTGTTTGAACACAAGTAATAACTCTTGCATACATATCTTTAATGACTTGAATATAAATATTATTAAACTCTTTCTTACGTAGAACTGTCACTAGCACTTTTCTTGGAACTTTATCATATGCTTTCTCTAAATCAATAAAAATCATATGTAGACCTCCTAATTCTCTCTATACTTCTTCATCAAACCTCTCAATAAATGTATAACTTCCATAGTACCTACTTTGCATGAATCCAAATTGATTTCGAGAAACATTAATGTCACGCCGCAACCTATGCTCCATAACTCTCTCCCATAGTTTTAAAGTATGTCACATAAAATTAATTCCTCTATAATTGGCACAATTTTGTATATTACCATTATTCTTAAAAAAAGAATAAACACACTCATTCTCCACTTATTTGGCATCTTTGTCTTCAAAATAATATTAAAAAGCTTAGTAAGCTAAGAAATTCCTTCATCTTCTAAGCATTTCGACACCTCTATTGGAATATCAGCATGTCCAACAGCTTTTTCACACTTCATTATCTTTAAAGCCTCTTTAACTTCTGTTTTACTAATACGCCGATAAAAACAAAAATATTTATTTTCATTTAGAGTACTAAGATCACTAAAGTCAATCGCATTCTCACAATCTTCATTGAAAAGTTTAGCAAAATATCTCATCCACCTTTGTTGAATATCCTCTTCTAATAAAAGCACATTTTGATTTTCATCCTTAATACACTTCACTTGAACTAAATCCTTACTACTATTATCTCTTTGTTTAGTTAACTTATGCATATATTTTCCACCCTCCTTAGTATCTAATATATTATATAAAATATTAAAAGCTAAAATCTTTGCATCGCATGTTGCTTTTTTAAACTCCTTATAGGCCACGTTATGTTTTTCTAAATTATCAGAGTTTTTATAAAAAAAATAATTTTTATAACAAATCTTTTTATTTTTTTATCTTTTCTTGCACATTTTGATTCCACCACCAACTATTTTTACCATTAATAGTTTTTCTCTTTGATAGTCCAAGCAATCTTTTTAATATCACTAGCTACTTTTTTCCACATAATATTAGCTATCAAATGCACAGACAAAATCTTAAAATTTAGAATCTTACTCTCAAAAATATTTTTATTAATATTATTTAAATGTCCACATCTAATCATAGAATAACAATTTACTTTATTTTTTTTCTGTCCCTTCATTTTAAAGTCTAAAACTAATAAACGATGTTTGATACATAAACTTTCACTATATCCATTCTTATAAGTGATGAGATGCTCATCTCTTTATTTAAATAAGATATTAGCAATCATAAAATCATAAGCTAAAGAAAAATTCAATATGGTGTTACAACTTTCATTCGTCGCTCCAAAGCTACAGCCATCATGAATGCTTTTAAAATCTACCTCTCTCCCAACATGTCTATTTAAATCTCCCTAATAAAAACTTTTTTTTTTCAAGAGGTATCTTTTGTATTAATTCTTTTAGGTAATTTCAAAATTTTAATTTTGAACACATATACAAAGCTACTTGAGGAGCATAAACATTTATAATATTAATAATCTTAGCAACAATAGTAATCTTTAAAGCTATAATTCTATCTCCAATTCGATTAATTTTTACAACATTATCCTCCAAACTCTTATCTATAATCACACTTAAATTATTTCTAGTACGACTCCTACCAAAATACCATAGTTAAATCATAAGCTATCAATCTCCTTAGCCTTCTCAACCTATTTAGTTTCTTGAATTCATAGAATATTTTATTTTCCTATGAATCATAATATCTATTAATTCCATTAATTTGCCTGTAAAAAAACATATATTCCAAGTTATTATACTGATTTTAGTTTCATAGACCAACTTCTTTGCCCATATCTATCTATAATGTGAGAACTCTTGTCTATTTAACATTGCACATGGGTGTCGGTGTAGCGGCCCTTACACACTTGTTGCTGTATTCAGGTCATATAATGCATCTCTTCCAGGGAACACCCTAGTAATAACACAATGTATTAAAGGATTCATGTGATGATTATTTGATAAGTTTTATGCTGGTTGACGCAACCCTCTACTTTTCTCGTCCATAACTTAGGACCTGACAAGAACAATGTTATATAAAAATTAACATTGATGACTTCTTCAAAATAATCAAATAAAATATGGCTATATTCGTATGCTGATGATACATCATTAATTGGAGCTAGCATGCTCAATGATATAATCATCAACGCCACTAACACATGTGCCCACTTCAAAAGCATAATCACCTTCATCAAAGAAAGAAAACATAATTTTCAAAGTTGACTTGTCAAGAGAAAGAATAGCAACTACATGCTTTTCAATGTCATTAATTATAATTAATGTACCGCAACCAATGTCTTAAAAGTTAGCCCTCCTAGAGTATATTTCGAACTCCGAGATAAAAGGAAAAAAGAGTGCACAAATACCAAATCCTAATCCCATTCAGAAGTAATATTGCTCCTTCTGAGTCAATTGATAAAAGAACATGAGCTCTAATAACCATCAAAATAAGACGATGTACTAACAATCTGGAAGCAAGAGTATGTTAGTCATGGTAATTACCATAAATCATCCAGCATTTCAATATGTAGTGCATTTAGAATCTATCAAATCATGATTGGTAAAACCTCTCTCTCTCTCTCTCTCTCTCTCTCTCTCTCTCTCTCTCTCTCTCTCT